GTGATTTCATTATCCCTCCTGTTCCTGCCTTTCTTCTCTCTCTGGCAGACATGACCTACTCACTACGATGCAGCTTCATAGAAGCAGTGTCTGGGTTTAGTCTACTTCACTGCTTTTGGCATCAGAGTGGGTGGTTCAATTGTTAATATGAAAAGTATGAGGCTAGGAGGTAGGAATGATGGTGGAACTGCCTGGCATCTGCTTCTCTGTTGACATGCACATGAATGGGCTCTGAAGTCCATAAGAATTATGATTGTCAAGAGCTACATGATTTGTAACTGCTTTGGCTTGGTATTAAATACTCTGATTTGGGGAATGAGGTTCTAAGCATTTGTAGTTGTATAAATGTAAACTGAAGCAGGAAGAGGCTGGGAAATATAGGGTTTAAGAGCATTGGCCTTACAGTTTTATTAATTCAGTATTGTGTTCTGGTTCTGAGTCACTTATCACCCTCAGTGATCTCATCCAAAACAATGGTTATGATTTTTGCATGCCTTATCAGAATATTTTTAAGAATTGAGCAATACACATACAGCCTTGGACATAATATGCTCTAAATATAAGAGCAACTATTGACATTATTAAGTTGAACCGAGGAATAGGTCACAACATAACTTTCAGTTCCCAAATAATTTCTAGTAGATTACATAAAAATTAGAAAATAGAGAACTCTAACCCAAAATAATTGTAGAAACTCCTGTCATAAAAATTCCTAAGAATGTCTGCTTGCCTTCATAAGAGTTTTCTTTGATAGAAAATGGCCCTGGGTAGACATCCTGGGAAAATGGGGGAATAACATTCTTTGGCCAGCTTTCTCTGGTTTATCCTCATTGAGGTCTGGAACCCAGGCTTTGGTTAGAAGCTGTGGTTAGAAATTGGCTAAAGTACACAAAGCCATGAGGGCTGGTAAGGAGAATCTTTGAAAGAAAAACAAACTGTGCATGCCAAGAACCCACAAATGTCCTCTATTTCCAAGGCAAGCATCCAAGTTTAGACACCATGTATGAATTTCAACTTTAAGAATCTTGTCAACTTTGCAAAATTAAAGACTATGTCCACAACATACACACTTCTAGAATTACCTGTGGCTGAGTGCCTGATGCTGTAATTCTACCTTGGAACCTGAATGCTACTAAGAACCACCTGAATATTTGGCATTGGACTTCACTTTACAGGTGCCAAGCTAAGTGAGCAGCCATACCTTGTGGTTAGACATTCAGTCTGTAGATCCTAACAGCCTGGATTTGAATCAGCTTTGGCTTCTGTGCGCACGAGCTGCGTCACCTGGGGTAACTTTATGTGACTGTAAAACGGGAATGACATACTTTCCTTTTAGGATTCTGGGTGCCATTGTGAAGTAGAAATGAGTTGGCATTTGTAAAATGCTTACAACAGCTCTTGTCAGAGACTAAACCTTCCAGAAATCTAAGCTGTTGTCCTTATGAGAAATTATTTCCCTAAATCAAAAATTCTCAGACTTCAGCGGCAGCAGAGTCACGTGTAAGGCTAGTTCACCCATTGACCACAGAGCCCTGTCCCTACCCTCTCTGATTCAGCAGATCTGGGATGGAGCCTGAGAATTTGTGTTTCCAACAAGGTCCTGAGTGAAGCTGATATCGCTGCTCCCAGGAGCACATCATGAGAACCATGGCCCTAAAACTTCCATTCCAATTTTACATCAAAAGCTCAAAAATAATGTAAGTAGATAGAATGAAACAGTCATTTTAATTTTTTTATATTTTTTTTAAAAAGAGAGAGAGAGAATTTTATTAATTTTTTAGTTTTCAGCGGACACAACATCTTTGTTATGTGGTGCTGAGGATCGAATCCAGGTCACACGCACACCAGGCGAGCACGCTACCGCTTGAGCCACATCTCCAGTCCCCGATGAAACAGTCATTTTATTTATAATAATTCAGTGTAAGTAAAAAATATTGGCAGCCCTGTCTAGAATTGTAGGAGTGATTAAGTGGTCAAGTTGGCAGGGGGGATCTGGAGGCAGCTCTGCCCTGGGAGAGTGGAGCTGGGGATGAGAAAGGGGTGCGTTCTAAGCAGATAGCACAGTGTTGAAATCCAGTTCTCTAATAATCCCTTGCAATCGGTGTGTGTGTGGGGGGGCTCTCTGAGGTGTGTTTGTGACAATATTAAGCCTTAAAAAGGAGATCTTGTCACTTGCCACACATGGATGACCTTGTGGACACTAAGTCAAGTTATGCAGTCACAAAAAGAAAAAAAAATGTGCAGAATCGCACAGTGGAATCTTTCTTATGCAGAGAGAGAATAAACTATGGTTGCAGTGGTGGGGGAGGAAATGGGATGAGATGTGGGTCAGAGGGAAAAAGCCATATGGGTCGCAGGAGTCCAGAGCCCTGACTGCAATACCAGGACTATGATGAAGTCGCACTGTGTCAGGATTACTGCTTCAAGAGATTTCAGCTAAAAAAATAAATAACTGAAATAATGGCTCTGTTGATCTGCTTCCCTAAGGTAACCATTCTACTACCCACATGCGCATAATAATGTCATGTTGTGCACCTTAAATACACACAATAAACTTATTTTCAAAGGTGGCAGGTGCGTAATTCTCTGGTGGGGCCAAACAGAGCAACAGGGACAACAGGGACCCAGGTTATCACTGATTCTCGACCTTCAATCAGAAGGAACTTGGGAGAACCACAGACCTAGGACATCCATCTCTTAAGCCAAGAGACCACCTGTCCACAGGTGGAAGAGCTCAAGGAAGGAATGAATGGGCAGCCACGGAGACAGCCCTGCCAGCCAGGAGGGCCCTGCAGGGAGAAAGCCCTGGGAACTTAGAGCCACCAGGAGCCAGTGACAGCCCTCCCAGAGAACCAGAGGGCAGTGGTCCTCCCCCTGGGAGCCTAGCAGGACCCAGGGGTGTCACCCTCCCGCTCGGCCCCGCCCCGCCTGCCCGAGGGTCTGGACCCGCTGCCACCTGGAAGGAGCGCAGAGCCAGCCCCTTGGTCACCTGGAGTGGAGGTGAAAGCCTGGCGGGTCCGCCAGCCTTGACGGACTGCAGACTGCGGGGCGGGAAGGGGCTGCCCGGGAGCCTGCAGGGCCAGGGGCGGAGACGAGGGCGGGGGATGTGCAGAGGGGAGGGGCGCTCCGGTGACAGTGACCACGCTCAGGAAAGATAGTGGATGTGGACACAACGACACGTTTGCCTAAGAGAATTTGCAGAGAAACTCCTGAGACTGAAGGGCAGGCTGGAGTGCGAGTAATGGCCACATTGAGTGACAGCTCCTAGGAGAACCGACACCGGAGGAGAAAGGACTTCAAAGCCTCCACCCTCAGTCCGGAGGAAGGGGACCTCGGAGAAACTTGGCTGCAGCTGGAGCTCTGAGGGGTCGCAGCGCCTCCCTCCCCAGCTGTAGTCAAATCACCCTGAGCCATTTGCTCAGTTTGGGAGGAGAGAACTTTTTCTGCCTTGAGTTTGGACGTGATTTTCTCCTGTTTGGAAAGATTTTCTGCCCCTGCCTATGTTACAGGAAGATTCGGGACTGAGAAAGAAGAGTTCAGGTATGGTCCCTTTCTCTTTCACTCTTCAGTTTGGTAAGCCCCTATGTGCTTTTATGCTTCTGATTCTTTTAAGTAACTTGCCTCTGTTTTCTAGCTGAATTGAGGACCACCTTCATCCTGAAGTCCCTTGGCTTGCTGATGTAATCATAGCAAGGTGGACATTCACCTCCAGTCATACAGAGTGTATTTAAAATCTTTTCTAACAAAATGGTTATAGTGACCAAAGTGGTCATATGATTCCTAAATTAAATTTTAACCTGGGCTAAACCCTAATAATTCCCTTATGTATGTGAAAAACAATTTAGCTTCCATTTATTCCTAGTGTGTTTCATAGTGAAAGGATAATTTCTGGCTAAATCCAAAAGAAACAATTCTATTCAAAGGAACAGATTTACAAATCTTGCACATCACTTTTGTTAGAAAAACATAAAAAAAAATTTTATTTTAACCCTTTTGTGTTCTAAAGTCCAGGAGAAGATTTTGGATCCCTGGCTGGCCCCACGTGTGGGTAACATATCGTTTTCCCAACAAGATGAGCACATTATCTCCTTGGTTAGCTTCTCCACCCCTGTGGCAGGCTGAGGAGGACAGAGACCAAAAAAAGGAGCAGGGGGTGTTTCTGCAGAGCCAACACAGCCCACCTCCTGCCTGCAGGGTCAGCGTGGCCACTGCCTACTGGCTCCAAGACTCAGCCCTCCCAGCTGGACAGCTCCTGTTGCCTGTGCTCATTAGCTGGCATCAAAATGTCCAATGTGTCTTTTTGGCGAGGACATGAAGAGTTGGAAAAAAATTATTTTCCTTTCCAGTGAATAATTATGACCCTTAAAATGTTTTTGAAGAAGATTTAATCAAATGAAGAACACATTACACATTAAATGATAAATGTTGCACAATGTCATCTATAGGCATACACACAGATATATGCCTTCTGTATACAGTTGACATGTATGAAAAGACTAGAAAGGAATGCTGCAAAACGTTGGTTTTATATGAATGCTGAAATGATGAGAAAATTTCTCTATTTAAAGTTTTCCAATTTTCTGAAGTGTCCATGTGTTATTTTTGTAATTGGTTTTTTGGAAGTTAGCCTGCATAGGTTCTGGAATGAACAGGAACCAAGACTTATGGCTTCAGTTGTCACAATATCCTCATCTTGAGCTCTAGATTCCCCTTTAACCATCCCTGGATAGTAGGGATTGCAGCTCTTCATTAGGAAGTGAGAAGCTGTAAAATTTTCACAACAATAAGCATCCTGCTTGATCATAAGCTCACACTGAGGTTTTACAAGGAGTGTACTTTACCTTTCACCATAGAAGATGTGAATGAAATTAGCCATGCATGACCCTTAAAGTTCTGTCCAGTCCTAGAGCTTCTACTGTGTGTGTGTGTCGGGGGTGGGGGTCCTGAAATTCAGTTGAGTTTTTTTACAATTCCAAAGTGAGATTTTGTTTTCCTTCAGGATGAGGGTGAAGACCATCTGCTTGCTGGTCCCCTTCACTGGGGTCCTCCTGGTGACTGCCCCGGGGAGCAGAGCCTGTCCCCGCCGCTGCACCTGCTATGTGTCCACAGAGGTGCACTGCACATTTCGGTACCTGACTTCCATCCCAGAGAGCATTTCACCAAACGTGGAACGCATCAATTTAGGGTGAGTGACTTGTCCCCAGAGCCCCCATGACTTTAGAAGATTAACCACAATTGTTTTAAACATTTTTTTTGTATGAAATGATCTCATGAGAACCTTTGGTAAGTTTTGGGGACAATACTTTTTTCCTGCTAGTCCTTTATGAGGAGAAAGTTCTAGAACCTGAAAAGTCTCTTGGTAGGTTGGGAGGCTGTGCTTGTGAAAAAGCTTCACTCTGGGCACATTTTTGCTGGGAAATAATAGAGTTGCACTTAGCAATCAGCATTATGATATAGCATAAGAGATGATGGGGCAATTAGAACTGTCCCATATGCAAGTGACATGGAAGGTCTGCGATGTCCTTTTGTAAGGCCTTTGAGATTTTAAAATGCCCCAGTTAGTATGTGCACAATTAATGTGAGCCATTACTATTTGTGGCTTATTTAAAATGCATGCCTAATTGAATCCACCACAGATGACTGTATTTTAAAGGTTCATGAGAATGTGTGTGTGTGTGCACATGTAGTGGGGGTTAAATCTCTTATGTGACATTAGTGAGCACATTCATTCATTGTGTGCCAAGCAGGATACAGTGATGGACAGCAAACCGTTCACCTGAAGAAGCTGTGGTTGAACAGTCTATGCACTAAATTGGATCCTCATAACTCCCTTGTAGTGGACTCTGTTACTGCACTTTGTAGTGACACTGGAACACACAAGGTCTCCGGATTTTACCCAGGTCACACAAGTATTATTAGAAGCCAGAACTCATAATCACGCCCAACCAGAAGCTAAAACCTGAGCTCCAGAGCCCCAGATCCTTAACCACTACTGATTGAATGGCCTACATCTACAAGTATAAAAGGGCAGGGTTTTCGAGGGTCTTCTGCCCTGAAGTTACAGCAAGTCCATGAAGGTTTAAAGATGGGAGTGGATGTGGCATGTCCTGGGAACATACAGGGGGACTGTAGCTGAGATCACAGGACTAGGAAGGGAGAGCAAATCAGTGGCATCTAGAGAACTTCAGTAACGTTCCAAGCATTTGACCCTCTCCCTAGAGCACAGGTAAAGCAAGAGCGTTCTGTGTGAGCGTGTTTTGCTGTGACCTTTCGCTGGCAGAGTCGGCTCATGCCTGGAGTGGCGTTTTGATTTCAGGTACAACAGCTTGGTTAGATTGACGGCAATGGATTTTTCTGGCCTGAGCAAGTTGGAGCTGCTCCTGCTGCACAGCAATGGCATCCACACCATCGCCGATAGGACCTTCTCGGATCTGCAGGCGCTGCAGGTGACACGGGGCAGGGCGGGGAGGGTGGAGGGGTGCCCTTCCCCCAGGACCCCAAAGCAGACCTTCTGTAAGTTAGAGGCAGATGTCAAGGGAGCACGTGAAGAACTGATTTCTTTTTTAAATGCAACCATATGTGGAAATTAGAATACTATGAAAATTCTCAGGGAAATTTTCTTATACCTCCAGCTAACAGGGGTAAAAAATGTACACAGGGGGTCACTGAACCTTTAAAATTTTATCTTTCAAAGACTATTTGTAATCCTGTTTCTCTGGGAATAGACTGTGGTACCTTTTCTATAAATCAGTGAACTATTGTCCAGCCTTACTTAATTTCTTGTGTATGCTCTGCCTTCTTTGAAAACCTTTTTGAAGTTCTATGGATTTCCAAGAGGGAACAAAGCACTGTAAGAACCGTCACAAGTGAGAAACTAGAAGGTGAGGGAACTCCAGGGACAAAAGCAAGGGAAACCCAGGGAGCTGCTGGTGTGGAAGCCCTTGCAGCTGCTGCAGGAGGACCTGAACTCCCGAGAGGCTGACGCACAAGGCAGACACTGTCCATTGAGAACAGGAGTGAAACTTTGGTTCAGGACAAGCACAGTCATTCTGACTTTGAAATCAGGAAGCGATGGGTCCCAGAACTCCTCATAAGACAGTCAATGAAATAGAGACAGCAGTGGGTCTCCCAGCACCTGGTGCAGCACGTCAGCCCTAGGAGCGCCGTGAACCTGGCAGGAGCGCGCAGCCCATGCAGTCCTGGTACCCAGGACCGGCTTCATCAGGCTCTGCTGGGAACGGGCGTCTTCAAGAGCAAGGGGCTGCACTTCACCCAGGTTTTCAGGGAGTATTGAGGAACTCGGGGTAACACTTGGGGCAAAGCTCATCTGTGTAGCCAGTTTAACTTTTATTTATTAGGACACACGGCATTCCAGGACAGTGTGGTCAATAGTGACAACAGCTTAGGCTGAATCAGGAAAATACAATGGGGAAATCTTGTTTTCACCAGCCTCTTTTTTTTTTGGGTGGGGGGGAGAATGGGTTAAGTTCAGCTTATAATCAGATAGGGAACTGGAGAAAACTCGAGCAAAACTGAAACATTTAAAATTGGAGGGGGGATAGTAGAGGATAGGAAAGGCAGCAGAATACAACAGACACTAGTATGGCAATATGTAAATCAATGGATGTGTAACTGATGTGATTCTGCAATTTGTATATGGGGTAAAAATGGGAGTTCATAACCCACTTGAATCAAAGTGTGAAATATGATATATCAAGAACTATGTAATATTTTGAACAACCAACCTTAAAAAAATAAAAATAAAAAAATTGTTTTAATTTCAACTCAAAATCAATTAAAATCATATTATTCAAAATAATAAAAAGTAGAAAATACCCCAGACTCCCTCCGTTGATGAGTGGAGAAACAAAATGTGGTACATGCATACAATGGAATACTAGTCAGTAATAAAAAGGAAAGAGAGGCTGTTGCAGGTAGGACAGGGATGGGTCTTGGGCAGTTTGTGAGTGGAAGAAGCCAGACACATGGGAGAGACCACATGTTGTGTGATTCCATTTATGTAAACTGTCTAGAATCAGCAAATCCATGGAAACGGAAAGTAGACTAGCAGCTGCTTAGGCCTAGGAGGGGGGTGGGAAATAATTGTTAATACAAATTGGTGTTTTACTTGGGGAGGATAAAAAATTTTCTAAAATTTGAGAGTGAAGATGGTTGTACAAATCCATGAATGTACTAAAATCCAACGAATTGTACACTTTTAAAAGATGAATTCTCTGCCAGGCATAGTGGTTGTAATCCTGGTGACTTAGGAGCCTTCAGCAGGAGGATCTCAAGTTCAAGGCCAGTCTCAGGAACTTAGGGTCTCATTAAGTTGCTTACATTCTCACTATCAAAATAAAACGGAAAAAGGGCTGGGTGATGTAGCTCAATGGTAAAGCACCCCTGGGTTAAATCCCCAGTAATCCCACCCACCAAAAAAGTAAGTAAAAAATAAAAAGGTGAATTTTAGCATTTTATTTATTAGCATCTGTGATGCTAATAATATCTCAAAGCTATTTAAAATGTAAAAAAAAAAAAATTGCTGGGCATGGTGGCACACACTTGTAATCCCAGTGGCTCTGTAGGCCAAGGCAGGAGGATCACAAGATCAAGAACTAGCCTCAGCAACTGAGCAGGCTCTAAGCAACTTAATGAGACTCTGTCTCAAAATAATATTAAAAAGGGCTCAGGATGTGGCTCAGTAGTTAAGTTCACTAGCTTAAATCCCTGGTACCAAAAAAAAAAAAAAAAAGAAAGAAAGAGAAAATAAACTCAATTTATATTCTTATTTTCAAAAAATCTTAAATTTACTTTTTAAAAATCATTTTTTTATTATTGAAATTTCCAACCATATACAGAAGTAGAGGGAAGGGTGCGTGGAACTCCTGTGAAGCATCACCCGGCCTCAATAGTTACCAACACATAATGGATTCCATCTTACCTGAGCCCTACATACTACATTCCATTGAGCTGTTCTTTTTTTTTCCCCCCTCAGAGCTATTCTTAAACAGACTCATGTTTCTTTTGTAAGTACTTCGATCTATATCTCAAGGAATCTTTCAAAAAATAATCATCATATCATTATTATGTCTTTCAATTTAGCAATGATTCCTTATGTATGTCCTAATTTTTCTGATATTTCCTTATTTAATTGGCAACTAATTTGTTTGAATTGGATTCCTAACCAGGTATGCATATGGCATTGGACTAATTACAACATATGCTTTTCCCCTTTTGTGAAAATTCTTTTAACAAAATAAATATGTTTATCTTTTTTGATTACAGGTCTTAAAAATGAGCTATAACAAAGTTCGAAAACTTGAGAAAGATACTTTTCATGGCCTCAGGAGCCTGACCCGGCTGCACATGGACCACAACAACATTGAGTTCATAAACCCCGAGGCTTTCTATGGGCTCAGTTCTCTCCGCCTGCTGCAGTTGGAAGGGAACCAGCTCACTAAGCTCCATCCAGATACCTTTGTGTCTCTGCGTTTCCTCCAGATGTTTAAGACATCCTTCCTCAAGTACCTGTACTTGTCTGACAACTTCCTGCCCTCCCTCCCTCAGGAGATGCTCTCCTACATGCCTGCCCTAGAGAGCCTCTATCTGCACGGGAACCCGTGGGTCTGTGACTGCCATCTGAGGTGGTTGTCTGACTGGATGCAGGAGAAGCCAGGTATCTGCACAGTGGTTTATTTCCTAATTAGATAGGGGACCCAACTTGGAGGTGTCTGATCAGTATAAGAGTTCTAGGTCAGTTAGCTGAAGAGAAAGTAAAGCCCCAGTCATAACTTGGGGATGACAGTCTTGACACCTGGTTTCCACCTGTACTTGTGCTGCAATGGTGCAGTCAAGAGGCTGTGTCAGAGGAGGACGGTCCATGAAGCCCACCTTCTTTCCATCTGGCCCTCTAAGAACCATGCTGACCTCTGGCTGGAGAGTGCCTCCCGGCCCACGTGCCAAGTCCTCCCTCTGTGGTCCTTGCCAATGCTCAGTTCCCAGCCTTCAGCCCCTTTCTCACCCCAGACACACAGACACTTGTTGCCCTAATAACCCTGAACTGCATTTGGACAAACCACAGCTGTGTCATGGTCCCTGATGCTTCTCCTGCCTGTCCCTTTGTTTCTGTTGGTGCTCCCAGCCAGCAAGTCTGGTCAGCACTCGCTCCTCTGGGAAGTCAGGGTGCTCCAGCACCCACCGCATCCACATCAGAAGGATCGTTCCACCCGCACTTCCATTCTTAAGAGGATGACATATCATCTTATTTGCTGGTATTAGGGCCTGTGGTGTTATCAGTGTCTGTTGTCTAGGCTTAGCCCTTGCAACATGCATGGAATACAGTAGGTTCTCAGTAATCCTTGTTAAAGCACCTATCAATGACAGCCATGTTGATGGTGAACTTGCCACCCACCCACTAGGTACTTATGGTCTTGATGTCCCAGACACAAATGCATAGAGAGTGACATTCTTGGGACTTTGAGAGGAAACTTGTACCTGCGTAACAGTGATTTGATGACGGATTTGCCTGTCTTAGGAAGCACTGGACTTCTCAGATCTAAGTGCTGTGCCCAGTGCATGATGTGGGAGCTCCTGCGTAGAAATCCCAGCCTGCATCTTGTATGAGGAAAAGAGCTGCTCTTCTGGAATATTCCAGTGGCTGGCCATCTTAAACAGGCTCACCAGAGCAGTATTTAAAATACCAGGGAATGTGAGGTCTGACCTCGGGTGTGGAGGTGGGCAACGCTCTATGATGTGGAAGGCTGCCTGGTGCCATGAGACCTTCAGTGAGCCATCCCACTGCTTGGGCACAGTGCTCTCCCCTCGCATTAAGCCCGCTCCTCCTCCGGAGCCTCTGCCTCAGGCAGCGGGGCACCCCCCAGCTCAGGACCTGAGTCTTCCTGACCTCCTGCTCACACCCTGGACCCTCGCCTCCTGCTCTTTACCTTGAGCATCGTCTGTCTCTCTCCTTTCCTGTTTCTATAAAGTAGCACCAGGACACTACATCTTATATTTTGGTCAATATTCTTTGGATAATAGGGAAAAAAATTTTTTTAATGATATTCAGAGTCTTACAAATGATTGCTTATGGAACAGGTCATCCTTCTAGGACAAAGGTGTTCTGTGACTATCTTGAACACTAAAACAGGGAGCTACTACTAATAAAAAATGAAGATGAGCATACCATTTTGTTTTCCTATATAGAAAAATGATTCATCCCAACTAATATTTAATGAGTACCAAATATATATCAGGCACTTTCTAGGACTGGGAAATACCTCAGTGAATAAGATGGATGGAACCCTCAGGCCTGTGCGTAGGATGTCACAGCAGAGACAGAGATGACATCTTTTTTAGAAATCATTTCAAAGGCAGAAACCATATAAACCTATTTAATAATTCAAATTTCAAATTGTAGCAAAAATATTTCTTCAAAATGTTCATGTGTGAAATTTTAAAGATGTTACAACTGATAGATAGTAATTCAATTGTGATTTTTCCTAGATGTAATAAAATGCAAAAAAGACAGAGGTCCCTCTGGTCTGCAGCTGTGTCCCGCTTGCATGAACCCCCAGAGTATTAAGGGCAGGCCCTTTGCTCTGGTCCCAGCTGCCACTTTCCTGTGTGTGAAGCCAACCATCAACCCGTCCTTGCAATCAAAGAGACCGATTGTTCCAGAAGACGATGGTTCTGCCTCCGTCTCTCCCCGAGACTTCCTGGCACCCCTCGGTTCCCTAACTCTGAATATGACAGACCAGTTTGGAAACAAAGCTAACGTGGCCTGCAGCGTTCAGAAGCCCTCGAGGACACGGCCCATGGTGTTCACTGAAGAAAACAACCACATCTTCCTCAATATGTCACTTTCAACATTCCTGGTGTGCGACGTGGATCCCAGTGACATTCAGCCAGTGTGGCACATTCTGGCTTTGTACAGTGATGCCCCTCTGACACTGGAAAGGAACCGCTTGCCCCCTGAAACACTGCAGCTGCGCTACAAATACAGACAGGTGGCACCTAAGCCCGAAGACATCTTTACTAACGTGGAGGCCGACCTCAGAGCGGATCCCTCGTGGTTGATGCAGAACCGGATCTCTTTGCAGCTGAACAGAACTGCGACCACCCTGGGGACATTACAGATCCAGTATGCAAGTGAGGCTCAAGTCACTTTACCAGCCACAGCGGGGGAGCCAGGGACACACAAGTGGACTATGATTTCAAGGAATAACGACACCAAGCTGGAGCACACCGTCCTGGTTGGTGGCACCATTGCTCTGGACTGCCCAGGCCAAGGGGAACCCAGCCCACACTTGGAGTGGCTTCTAGCCGATGGGAGCAAAGTGAGGGCCCCCTATGTTAGTGAGGATGGACGAATTCTGATAGACAAAGGTGGAAAGCTGGAACTCCAGATGGCCGATGGTTCTGACTCAGGCATGTACCACTGCGTAAGTACCAATTACGGTGATGCAGACGTCCTCAGCTACAGGATCACCGTGGTAGAGCCCCGCATGGAGCCTCTTCCTGAACAGGGGTTTCATCACACGGTTTTTGCTGGTGACACGCTCGATCTCCCATGCCATGCTACAGGGACCCCAGACGCCTCTGTTAGCTGGGTCCTTCCAGGAAGCTCTGTCCTCCATCAGTCCTCAGGAGGAAAGCAAATTCTTAACAACGGCACATTGAGAATCCCACAGGTCACCCCAGAAGAGCAAGGTCAGTATTGCTGTGTAGCAGCCAACCCATCGGGGGTGGATTTTCTGCTTTATCAAGTTTCAGTCAAAATGAAAGGTCAAAGGCCATCAGAGCAGGAGAGGGACGCAGATGGATCTGGACTCGGAGAGCCTAGTCCCAGCACTCACCCTCGGGAGTCTGCGATTGGCGGGCTCCCTCCGTCTGCTCCCTCGGGGACTCAGGCTAGGAGACCAGTCTCCAGAGCAAGTAAGAATGACAGAGGGGGGTTCACCCCGCTGCTGCGGGGAGGGTCAGCACACCGAGGCCTGAGGGAGCATAGGAGGCACTTCCCCCCCTCTGCACGGAGGATTGATCCACGACACTGGGCAGCGCTTTTGGAGAGAGCTAAAAAGAATACTGTGCCAGAAAAACGGGAAAGCACCACGGCAGGGCCACCCATGCCAGGCTCCCGGCTCCTGAGCTCACCTGGCGAGGAAGAGGGCTCTTCGGGTGTGCTCCCCCCAGAAGAGGAGTCTGCAGGCCCCACAGCAGCTCCCAGTGCTGTGGCAAGGGTGGAGGCTGCTGGCCCTGGAGCAATGGCCCCGAGCCTTGTGGCCAACAGAGCCTCTGACACAGAAGCCTCCCCCATGGCGAGTCCACCTGTGCAGCCTGAAAACCCTACAGGTTTCAAGCAGTCTACCACTTCTAAAACCACAGCCACACCCGAGGACCTAGATCCAAGTAGATCAAGCCTAATGCACAGTGCAGCCACCCAAAATCCAGCCCCTCTCTCTCCACCGATGCCCAGAACGACTGAATTTCAGGACTCTGAGCAGACGGGGAGGTACGAGCATTTTCAAAGGGCTCCTCCAACAACACGGAGGACTGTGACCAGAGATGCCCTCATCAAAACGCTTAGTAGCAATAACAGAGCTGATGTGGTCTTAGAGTCAGTAAATACCACAGCCGGCCACCAGACACCGGTGACGGGAGCCAGTGAACCCAGGAGCAATCACTTCTATTCTTACACTCTGCAAGGACTTAGCACCTCTAGGCTCCCTTCAGAGCCACACGTTACTGCTGATCCTTCATTTCAGGTTCCTAGAAGTAGCACTGCTGGCACCCCACTCCCCAGACGCTTTGGGCGGCGCAGGAAAACTTGGGGCAGAGGGCGAATTATTAGCCCATACAGGACTCCAGTTCTCCGACGGCATGGATATGGCATGGTGGGGCCTGCAGTCCGGGGCTCTGCTGAGGAAAGCACTACCACACCTTCAGCCTCAGAGCTCCCTGTGAGGTGCCTATCCTGTCCTCCCACAGAGGCACTGGCCTCTGCTACAACAGTGACGTCTTCTCTAGGTCCTCCCCCCAGCACCCACCCCAACGTTGATGTCGCCAGAGTCACAGCAGATCTGTCCACAACTCTAGCCCAGAATCCTTCATTATCTGAGAACAAACCAGAGGTGGATGTTGATAAAACATCACCCACAATAAAATATGTCAGTGCTGAAAGTAGCCACGGGGCCCCCACTGCAGCCACGACTCCTGCCCTCACCTCCATACCTCTGAATCAACCTCTCCTAGCAGATAATGGTTCCCTGAGTGTATCCACCACCAGCGAAGCCAGAGGACAGTCGGGGATTACACCACCTCTTCCAGGTCCCGTCACCAAGCCACCAGTGCCCACGGCTCTGCCCACTACAAGATTCTCAATAAGGAAAATCCCCTGGCATCAGATCTTTGTAAATAACTATAAACAAAAAGGGATATTAAAGAATCTGCGTACGTTTGGTTTACAGAAAAGCAAAGCTACGATGCTTCCTAGAATATCTCCTACTCTACCCACAAATCACATTCCCCCCTTCCCTCCTGCGACGTTCTCGGCAAGGCTAATGCAAATTCCACCCGTAACACTGGCTGCCACCCACCATAGCACCAGCGAAACCCCCAGATCTGGACACCGCCCCACAGGGAGGGAGCTGCCCTTCCCATCCTCCCACTCCCTGCTTCCCACTCCCACCCCCAGAGAATCGAGCACATCTGGCTTCCAACCAGTGCAAACAGCCACCCTGACAGGTGCCCCCGCTGCTCCCACATCTGTCATTATCTATAAGACCCAAGCAACAGGACCCAGGTCCCCAGAATATCCAGGAGAACAGGAGCCTCAGAGGAACAGGAATGACCCGAGCACCTCTCCAGGCCAGAGTGCTGGCCTGCCTCTCTCCGCTGCAGTGACACCTGTTCCAGCCGTAGCTGAAACTTCCCTTGAGCCTGGCGTCTCTGCTTTCACTCCCCCACCACTGGAAGACACAGGTGGGATTTCAAGCACAACTGGTCTTCACTCAAGAACCCTTCCCCTGACAGGTGTACCTGAAGGGCCACCCCAAGAGACCACCCAGACTCCGAGGAGCACAATTGCTTCCGAAATGTCAGAGTCCAGCAAGTCGCCCCAAAGTACCACAGCCAGGAAAACCAGCGTTGAACCCTCGACCAGGCCACCATTCCTGAGCAGCCATGGTCCTCTAGTACCGATTCCTACCTCCCTGCCCCCCACGCAAACTGCAGTTATTGACAGATTGGCAACTCCCGTCTTCAAGATGAGAACGGACACAGTGGTCACCTTGAACAAGTCCTCGAGGCATGATGCTGACCTACAACAATTAGCAGCAGGGGTCACAGCACCTCCCCAGCAGCCAGATGCCAAACTTGTGACTGGCGCGGCCCACTTTACCTACCCCAGCTGGGGACGCCCTACTCTCACCCCGAGACCGAGACCAATGACAATTAAGTCGCAAGATTCCAAATGGACTCCCTTGTCCTGGCCAGAAAACCAGTTTGGGCCCAAGTCATACCAAGAAATTGCAGGCAAAGGTAAAAATCCAGTCCCAAGTGAGTTGCCCACTCTGAGCTTACCAGAGGCCACCTCTCAGACTTCAATCTGGGATGGACAGAAGACGGATAAGACAGCTAGTCAAAAAATCACAACTTTCCAGCTCCTTCCCTCGGACTCTTTGTTGAGGAGTATGTTTGAAAAGCCCAGAATAGTTGGAGGAAACGCTGCCAGCTTCACGGTTCCTGCGCATTCGGATGCCTTTCTCCCCTGCACAGCCGTTGGGAACCCCCCGCCCACTGTCCACTGGACCAGAGTCTCATCAGGTATTGAGAACTGTCCCTCTGTGCTTGGTCACCTTTAATCATGAAACAGGGGAAAGACTGTGTTGTATTTCAGTTAACATTTCTTTAAAACACAGAAACCATGAAATCCTCATTTGACCTTTGCGTCATTCATTAGAAGGTTTTAAAATAATTGAGAATCATTTTTTAAATTATTTGAAAGCAGAGCTCCCTCAAAAACACAATTTGAAAATGACTGGTCATTGTGTTCAACTATCTGGCTTTTAAAATACATGAATTTTTTTAAAATCAAGGAATAATTAGTAATCAAAGACCTAGAGTTTTAATTTAAAATGTATTTATTCTCAGTAGCTTAACAAAAAGATAGTTCTATATTTCCAATCTGAACTTTGAATTTCTTTCTTCTTATCAGGACTTGAATTGTCAAAGAGGAAACAGAATAGCAGGTTCCAGGTACACCCCAATGGCACACTGTCTATCCAGAGGGTCAGCATTCAGGACCGTGGACAGTACCTTTGCTCAGCGTCCAACCCATTTGGCACGGACCACCTTCATGTCACCTTGTCCGTGGTTTCCTATCCCCCCAGGATCCTGGAGAGACGCACTGAAGAGATCACGGTCTATTCTGGAAGCACCGTGGAGCTGACATGCAGAGCAGAGGGTAGGCCCAGTCCTACGGTCTCCTGGATTCTTGCAAACCAGTCAGTGGTCTCCGAGTCATCCACAGGAAATAGACAGGCCCTGGTGACCGCCGACGGAGCGCTGGTCATCCGCAAGCTGAGCATTTACGACCGCGGCTTTTACAAGTGTGTGGCCAGCAACCCCGCTGGCCAGGATTCACGGCTGGTTAGGGTACAAGTCATCGCAGCTCCCCCGGTCATTCTAGAGCAGAAGAGGCAAGTCCTCGTGGGGCGTCGGGGGGAGAGCTTGGAACTGCCCTGCACTGCAGAAGGGACTCCTCAGCCCCTCGTTCACTGGGTCCTCGCGGACGGCACTGAAGTAAAACCCCTGCAGGCCTCTAGTGCCAAGTGGTTCTTAGGTGCCAATGGGACTCTGCACATCAGCAACCTCGCCCCTGCTGACAGGGGCACTTACGAGTGCATTGCCACCAGCTCCACTGGCTCAGAGAGGAGGGTGGTGACCCTCAGAGTGGAGGGGCAGGAGACCAGCCCCAGAATAGAGGTTGCCTCCCCAAGGTGGACAGAGGTGAACCTGGGGGATGAACTGCTACTGAACTGCTCAGCTGCTGGGGAGCCCACACCCAAGATAATCTGGAGGCTTCCGTCCAGGGCGGTGGTCGACCAGTGGCACAGGTAAAGCCGCGCAGTGGTTGCAGTGGTCTGCTGGTCTGTCGAGCTGTCGTAGCTTCTGAAGGGGAAGGGGTGACTCAGTGAGGCCAGCCACGGGTTCTGCACAGAGAGGGTTCTCCCTAAAGAAATCAAGTCCACCTGAGATCATTGGAATATAAAAACCCGTTTTCTTACATGCTGAAGTCTAAGGGCCAAATCCTGAGTTCACATAGTTAAATGCAGGATAAAAATTCTCATTTGCCTTCATACTTGACAGTTGTAAAAGGGTAAGCATGTAAAGGTGCACAGTTTCTCTATACAAAAGAGGAGAGAACTGTGAGGCAGCTGAGGTTCTAGAGGGACACGCGCATTATCACCCTCGTCAGAATCTCCTAGCAGACACTTGAAACCTGGATCACTATTTCATTTCTTCTTCCCTAAAATTGCAAAGCACTTTGTGAAAGTCCAAACATTCAGACCTGCACAAGGTGCAATGTCTTAAGGACCTCTGCTGCCCCCATGTGGTCAGACACACACAGCTCAGTTACTCCAGGCATAGTAATACGCACTTTATAGCTGGCTTCTTGTATAAAATTTTGAAAAGGAATAATTAGAGCTTATGTGTTAATATTTGCCATTTGCAATTATCATAATTTTGTGCAATGATTTTCTATAATAGGCCAGAAAAAGATGGGGATGAGCATTTCATATAAATTTACATAAAATATTGTTTATTCATTAATAGAAAATATGTAGAAAAATCAGAAATAATAGAGATAAATTGACACTCAAGCGTAGAAGTTGTGGTTTTTTCCTAGTATCAAAATGAGTCGATACTGAATATAATTAATGAATTTGTGATCTTTAATTCAAAGTAAATGTTAATTTTTAAGTTTTTCATGATCTTTAATTTAAAGCAATGTTAATCTTGAAGTTTTTCAAATAAGTCATCAAAATTACCTAAGTATTAAATTGAAATTAGTTTAGGTTTACAATTTTAAAATGCTGAGCAATGAAACGTGAACTTTAAGGACCACATGTTTGTATGTGTTATCTAGTACACATATATCCATTACTGTATGTGTGTGTGTGTGTTTGTGTGTGTTTGTGTCCAATGTCTTATCAGTTTTTGCATTTAATTTCGAAATATCAGTCTTTTGCCTTCAAGTTATACTATTTCTCTAATGTTAAAAAATACTTCTGTTTATTAACATTAATGCATTTAAAATAAATTCCACAGCACATGAGGATGATTTGCATTTAACAGAGATTATTTGTTATTCTTGATAATTTTGAAGGTAAGTTCGACTCTCCATGCAGAAGCTGATGTAGAAGGTGTTGAATGTGTCACATTTATGCTTTTGATGGAAATTACAGATCAAGTTCACCATGCAGGCTGTAAAGACAGAACCTGGCATTTGTGAAGTGTTCAGTCCATTTTTGAGAGTGGAAATCTCATATCTGAGTTATGAGAAAATGTAATGCAATGTCTTAAAGGTAAGTCCAAAGGCAGTCTGGGAGTGTTCCAAAATGTATTACTAGCATCTCAGCATAAAGGCTGGTCAGGAGAGTTAAACAGCAGAGAAATCTGGAGGATGTTTACTTTTCGTTTGGGGAAAACATTTGTGGAACATGGGAATCTTCTTATCGTGGAAAAGGCAAGAGTATGTAAGATCGCAGATCCTATCCTGGGCCCACCAGAGGCCCTGCATTCTGTTTTTTTTTAATAATGAAATAGAGCTGTTTGCTAACTGGACACTTAGGGACTCTTTCACAAGTAATCTATGCAAAAAGGCCAGGTATCCTTTATTCAGATGCAGCAGATAGTTATCAGAAAGGAGGAGGGCACTTCTGTGGCATAACAGAACACACACCCCCTCCAAAGAACCCCTTCATCTTCCCACTTGTTAGGATGAACAGTTTGAGTTTAAATTCTAAAAATGGACACTTCCATCATAGCTATGATGAGACAAGCCCACCCTGCCATGCCCAAGTAAGTGAAGCTACTGGCCATGCAGCCTGGACATAGAGCCTTCTGCAGCTTGCTTTAGTGACCTCAGATGACACTGCTCAGCCTGTCTTCCTATGCTTCAGCCCAGACAGTGTTCTTCCCTCTGACACCTTGTTCCTTGTGACCTGGAGGCTTGGCACAAGTGCAGGGCAGGCTCCATCCAAAACTGCTGCTGTCAAACCTGCACTTAAAAAAAAAAATCTCAACAAAAATAAACAGAAAGATCCCCAGGTGAGTCCTATGCACAGGTGATCTGAGAAACACTTCCTGGGAAAGGCTGAGGGGCTCACATTAATTTTTAAAAATTATTTTGGTCATCCAATTTTTTTTTTTTATTGAGACCTCACATTTAGGTATCTCTGTGGGGTGCATTATGGTAACTCAGTGCATGCACCCAAATAAGGGTCTTAAGCTTTGCATCTCTTCAAACACAAATCATTTCTGTGTTTTCAGGAGTTTGGCCCTTTTCTAGTCATTTTGAAATCACTCTAGATTGTTTTGATCATGTGACCCTAAGGTACTTGAGGAAGCCAGAATTGCCTCCTGGTCTCTGTGTGCTGGGGCCGCCTGCACCTCTTCCTCCCGTCCTCCCCAGTCTCTATCAACCGCTGTTCTCCTTTTTCCTACTAAGTTGACCTCTTAGTTTCCACAGATGAGTGAAAACATGTGGTCTATGTCTTTCCATGTCTGGTTTATTTCACTTAATACAATGACCTCCAGTTCCATGTGTGCTGCTGTAAATGTACGGCTTCTTGTGACTCATGTTCCACTGTGAATGTTCATCCCATTTGCTTGATCTGCCTGTCCACTGATGGGCATCTGGATGATTTCACATTGTACTATTGTGAAGAGTGCTGCAGGAAACATGGGAATTCAGGCATCCTTTTGTATAATGATTTCGTCTCCTGTGGACAGGTACCCAATGGAGTGATAGCAAGACAATGGTAGTTCTCGCCTCAGGCGTTTTAGGGATTTCCACACTCTTCTCCCTAATGGCTGTCCAATTTTGCATTTCCACCAACAGTATTTAAGAGTTACCCTTTTCCACCTCACCTTCAGCATTTTTTTTAAGGTAGCCATTCTCATTAAGGTGTAAGACCACAGCTTATTTTGGTTTTGATTTCTATTTCCTGATGGCTAAACTCCTGGGCATTTTTCATATACTTGGCCATTTTCTGTCTTCCTTTGAGAAGAGCCTATTCAGATCATTAGCCCATTTTCAATTGGATTTTTGTTTTGTTTTGTTTTAGTTTCTTATATATTTTGGATAGCAATCCCTTGATTGATGAATAGTTGGAACAGATTTCTCCTTGTTTTGTAGGTTGTCTATTCAAACTGGTTATTTCCTTTGGAGAAGTTTTGGGGTTTGATGTCATCTCATTTTTTTTTTTTTTTAACTTTTGTTGCCTATGTCTTTTGAGTTCCACAAAAACAAAATCCTGCCTACAGCAAAGTCTTGAAGCATTTCCCCCAATGTTTTCCTGCAGTAATTCCCTAGTTTCAGGTTTACCATTTAGATCTTTGATTCATTTTGAATTGATTTTTGTGTATGATAAAAGGAAGAAATCCAGTTTCATCTTTCTGTATATGTATATTCAATTTTGAAAGCACCTTGTATTGAAGAAACTGTCTTTTCTTCACTATATGTTCTTGTTAGAAATCAGTTGGCAGCATAAACATATTAATTTCCATGTTCTCAATTCTATTCCATTGGGGTTTTTGTCTATTTTTATGCCACTTCTGTGCTATTTTGGATACTAAATCTATTAGTCGTTTTTTATTTCTGTGACCAAAATACCTGATATAAACAACTTGGAGGAAAGATTTCTTTTGGCTTAGTTTCCATTCTCAGTCCATGGTTTAGCTGATTCCTTTGTGTTGGGCCAGATGTGATGCAGCGCATCATGTTGGAAGGGTGTGATGAAAGAAAGCTGTTCAGCTCGGGGCATTCAGGAAGCCGAGACAGAGAAAGTGAGCGCAGAAAGGGAAAAATCCTTCCAGATCATGTCTGCAGTGACCTACTTCAAGTGTCAACATGACCCTCCTGCCTACAGTGTCCACTGCCTCACAGTAGTCCATTCTACTATCAACCAGTTTATCCATGAGGAGGTCATAGCCTTCGTGTATTGTGACCAAAATACCCAACAAGATCAACTTCAAGAGGGAAAGTTTATTTTGGGCTCAGGGTTTGAGTTCTCAGTCCATGATCAGCCACCTCTATGGCTTTGGGCCAAGGTAAGTCAGCATAACATGACAGAAGGTGGTGGCAGAGGAGAGCGTCTCAACTCATAGTGGCTGGGTAGCAGAGAAAGAAGGGGAAGGGGTCACAGGAAAGCTGAACTCTCCCAGGGCATGTCCTCAGTGACCTATCTGTTCTACCACTATGATGTTCTCCCGTACCTCAGGTCCAAAGTGATAGAGTTGGTCGACCATGGACTGAACCTCTGAAACTATAGGCTTTCTCTTCTAAGTCATTCTGGTAAGATATTTTTTTGTCAAAGCAATGAGAACTTGAATAACAGAAATTGGTACCAAGAAGTAGGGCCGTTGCTGTTACTAACTTGACCCTATGGTTCAGAAGCCTTTGGAATGGGTTTGCAGAAAGAGTTTGGAAAAGTTTGGAGATGCAGGCAAGAGAACTCTTAGAATGCTGTATATGAAGCATAATGCGCAATTCTGGTGGGAGCTTAGAAAACCAGAGTATAGATAGGAGCATGGACAATAAAGACTGTGCTCATGAGGTTTCAGAGGTAAATGGGGATTCTGTTTGGAATTGAACTAGAGGCCATTCACATTACATGCTGGCAACTTGTCTACATTTCCCCCATTCCCTGAGACTTGGTGTGAGGCAAAATTTAAAGGTGATAGACTTATTGGCAGAAGAAATTTTGAAGCAGCACAGCATTCATGCAGTGGCATAGATATTGGTAGAAACTTTTAGCCAAGTTTACTGTCAGAATCAGGAGCAGAAGGCAGAGCAGAAGGATTTTGAAAACTTGCAGTTTCACCAGAA